ACTTTCCATATTCTTTTTTTCTGCCAGCTCTTTCTCGAAAGTTTTCACAAAACACGTACCATTTTTTCGAACGCTGCTGTCTCATACAAACTTGTGAGTACTTTGAAGACTAACAAGGGTAAGACCGAGCTCACCTTCAAACTCACCCAGCACCGTAGTATCGCTGAGCGCACCAATCAGAACGCTCGAGTACGGTACTGGGCGACAGCATATCGCACTGATGAATTTCAGTCTTGATTTCAGCTATTATCCTCATTGGCAATGCTTTGGTAAGGAGTATGGTATAGCTTATTCTATAACGGGATGTCTTAACAATCCCAATATATGCAAGGTAAATTTCACGTCACAACAATTTTGGCAATTTAAAAGCCTTCTGACAATTTCAGACGACCAAAACTGCTACAAAGCTCAATGATGTTGCTCGCTGCTGTTATTATACTGATTGTAACTATTCGGTAAGTTCGGGTAACGTTCCACTTAGTATAGGGGTAAGTCTCACCTTTTCAGATCTACAAATATCTTACATCTCTCAACAGCACGATACCGGTGCACGATTTCAAGGATTGCGATCCTAGAGGATGCAAAGAGTGTGTCGAGACACTCCCGGACACATCGACAACAACTTCTGATCAGTCTGTCACCGCACCAATTGTAAAGTACAGTAGCCAGGAAAAAAGTACGGTAGAGAAGCCGTCGACTGGTAAAAGTGAAGCCACGTACCACATAACTAGTACCACGCCGGGACGGTACGGTTCAACGGGAACCACATCTACCACGACTGCGGGTGCGCTCACTACTTCAAGCAAAGCTGATACCACTGTACCTACCCCACCTGGGTAGGGAGGAGGATCCCACCTAGGGGAGGGAGGAGGACGAAGAAGTCGAGAACTAAAAAGAATTAATCTATTTCGTTATTCTGAAAAGTAATTTTTTTGAAATTATTGTATTTCATGTCCATAACATTTGTTATTGTAAAGTTTTGACACAAGGTTTTTTCAACAACCTAAAAATCAAGGATACTAACTATCTTGAGCAGGGCTCGGCACGGGCTGGCACCAGGAAAATCTCAAAAC